ATTTTCGAGAAAAAAAAGATTATTCATTAGAACAATCTTTCTATGTTGATCACAGAAATCTTATAAAGTCCATAGCACAAAAATATTTTAAACTTAGGATACATTTTAACAAAGACAATTATATTTAAAAGTCAATGATAAACACATAATAGTGCACCACTACCACGGTTTGTAAATATGCTTTGTTTGTGAGCAATTAAATTATCTTTTTAATATTGTGTTTTATTTTTGAACCCACGACATCCAGATTAAGAACCTAATGTACGTTAGACCACAGCAGCAAAACTTTCAGGTACCATAATTTATCGATAAAATATATTAATTTATTCCCATCACTAGCATATTTACAAGTAGTGACAACCTGCATAATAACGAAACGAAACAATACACATATCTCTTTCTTATACACTATCAATACCATAAGTAAAAAAAAGATGAATATATGCAGTGTAGTTGTTATTTTAGCCTGGCTTCCATGCTTTAGTTATTGTTCCGAGTACTTTATGCTCTTTATTTTTTTTTGCATCACAGATAATAAAGACCTTCTATAAACTTTCCCGCCCAAATCGGAAACATGGCGGCGGTTAACGTTCGGAAAACATCTAAACGTTTTAAAAGAAGAAAATAAGAATAAAAATAAAGAGTTGGCTTTCGACTTTCACTCTCAATGGCCTTGCTACACGGACATTGACACGATGGCGTTAGAAGAATAAATTGCATCGTGGACGGTGGAACGGGAGATATTGTAACATTCGATTTCGGTCACGACTTTCATGAATTGCTGGAAAAACGTTATTCTTTTTTTGATACTGTTTGCTTTTAATTTAACTTTGCGGTTGTTCAAAGTGCGTAAGTAACTGATGTTAAACATAAACGATAATAATGGCTAACTAGCTTTGCTAGTGCAGCGGTTCCACCTTTCCTATAATGTACAAAGTCAACTTATATGTTATTTCAAACTATAGGTAACACTCCTCAAAGGTTACACTGATTTATTGGTGGTGATGGTGGCCACCAAAGACGTTTTAGTGCAGTAAGAACCACACATTTCTTAGTACTTACGCCATAAGGAAGTCATCAAAAAGGTAGATCTAATAACCATGCTAACCTATTATAACATTCTCCCGTTTTATTCTGACATTTCTATTGCATTGAAAAAGTTTTAACATTTAGAGACCTTATCATAAATTGATCTGGTTTGTATCGAAAGACTAAATTAGGTATCAACAAAAAATTTAATAGAAAGGAAATAAGTCCTTTCTATTAAGTGTTTTTTCATGTAACGGATACAAATTAAATGACTATTGAAAGCAAAAGGTGAAAGTTGAATTATAAGTTACTTGTCTATAGAAAAAAAATGTAATGATTCGCATCACACGTAGATACATAGGTAATATTGTGAACACGTTTGATCATTACTGCCAAGTGCCATCATTTTGATGGCTACGTCATATTTAAGTAGACACATATTTTGAACACATTCAATTGAATTACCAAAAATTCTACATTATCATCAGAACTTCGAATAAATTAAGTAAGTATCCTTTTTTTCTGCAGAGTGCATGATACTTGTTAATAACGCAAAAAGTAATCGTTCGACGGCTATGATGAATGAGATATCTAATTGAAAACAGCTTCATATGACTCCTAATTTATAAGGCTACTTTATTGTTATAAAATACTCCATAGTTTCATAGTAAGTGTAGTAACCTAGGCACTTAAACCTCGTAGCGTGAGTCAACCGCTTAGACTTACCTCAGTCTAATTTTGATCTAGATAAAGAAAGCGATAGTGGCAAGGCTAAATCGTGACTAAGAAATCCGCAAGTGAGCTGTGAACCTATTGATCAAATGATAGCTTTGGACAGCTGTTCATTAAAAGATATGTTAACTGACCAAGACAGGAATATTTCTCCGGATGAAACTTTAGTTTGTGTACAATAAGATACATTCACTCTTTAGATAATATTTAACGGAAGTCTTTAATTACATTTGTCTAACGAAACTCTGCAGTGGTTGTGTGAACAGAACAGTACAACTATTGCTGTGTAATATAATATGTTACTATTAAATTTAATGTCAATTAGATTCAGCACTAAAGAACATCATATTTTTGCAGTCTACAAAATATTTGTTTTTGTTATCGCAACAAGTGAAAATTTTAACATAAGGGAATGTTTCCAAAAACAGTAACACCTCTTACTCACCTCTTGATCTAGTGCTAGTTCATCATTTTCATCTACTCCAGCGTCAGGTATGCTGTCGTCATCTTCAGCTGCAAAGGCTACACCGAGGAGCAGTAACGTTAACAAATACCTCCACCTGGAACAAAACACATAGTTCTGTTAAAACTTGGTCTTGAAAATATCTCTCCTATATTTCTAAAGAATACATAACATAAGGCCTTTTATCCCCAGGCAGAGGTTGCACATTATGCCACTGTACACAGTACAATGTAACACCCACTTTTCACTACTTATCTTAAGAGTCCCATGTAATGGGGGTGAGCCTATTGCCAAATACCGGGCACAATTCCAGACTCCGTGCTACTACTGAAATTTTTTTTTAAAAACCCATTAATACTTTGTCCGATCCGGGAATCAAACCCGAGACCCCTTACCCGGCAGTCGTATTTGCGACCACTCGGCCGAAAATAATAAATATACATAAGACTTAACTAATACAGATAAAGAAGGGAACTGCAGAATGTATCTAAGTTAGAAATGCAACAACTTGGTTCCAACAATTTATTCTACATAGTTTCTTTCATTTACAAGTTTAATTCAATAAGTAGTTGTCTTGTCATTCATTACTGTTCGTAGATCGTTGTTACTTCCTCTACCACCTATCTTACAATCATTTACAATGAACACACAGTCTTCCGACAGAATTGAATTAAATTTCACTTTCAACATTAAGTTTATAAATCTCGGTAAAATATCAAGTGTAAAGCATGTGCGGCAAGATTGGAGTTGCGTAATGGTGGCAATTTCTCCAAAATGGACGCTGCACTGCGCTGCTCAGCGCAGGGCCGTTGTGTAATGTGCCGATATAATTCGATGACAGCGGAACTGGTTCGCACACGATTAAATAATAAAGCTGGTGTGAGACCAGCAGCTTCGGTTGCGTATTTGATCCAAATATCTGTTAAATGACACACTTGACAAGATAATAGTCCAGTGTGTTTGAAAAGGTATTGCCGGCATCCAGCTCTAAATAGCCCGGAATTCCAACCAACAAAGTTTAGTTTGTGTGTTAATACGAACTAGATAATTTATGTGTGAACTTGGCTTTAGAAGTAACTGCTATGTGTAGCATGTGCGACATTTCCTGCGATTAGAAGAAAAAATCGGAAGTTAGTCACTTTCTAACTCCACATAAAACGACCGAGTTATAATGACTATGGAAATAGATTCTGCATTTGTAGTTCCGATTTTAAAATGGCAAATGTCGTCTTTTCGGGCCTAAAATGTCGTCGCATTCTCAAGTATCAAATTAATCAATCGTATATTAATGAACTAGGAGATTTTATTAGCTATAACAGGAAAAAGAATCATAGTTGTCCATAAAGGGGACGGAACTGAGTCTTTAGTATTTCATCAGTGCGTCTCATATAAAGTTGAATGTTGCATTACGATGCCGTAACTTTTGGGTGCGGTCCCAGCAGTAACTCATGTACCTAATTAATGTGACGAAAGCTGGTCACTGGTGCTAAAAAGCGTATTTTGGAGTCGAGACACTGGTAGGATGTGGTGTTACATAATTAGTTGCAGGTGACTTCATTCACACTTAATTATTGGCTTAACATAGTTAGTTGAACTTAAAAGTATGATTGATGAATAAGGGGTCTTATCCCCGACACGACAGCAAAAAGTATAGCATTAAGTTGAACATGTTTTGATCAAAATCGCCTAGTTATATCAGTACAGGAAATATTTCACTAACCAACTAATAAACGTTAGTCTCAATATCCAAAGCTAAGATATTCACGCTCTGCCGGAGGCTTACCGCAATCGTGTGTAACCCTCTAAATATGGCGATAAATCAATGATCCATACCGATGTACATACATTTCAATATAGCAATTAATGAAACCTAGTTGGATAATATTCATAGTGCTATGTGAATCTTATCTTCAGTATAAATGTTTGACCAGTTATCCAAAGGCTGCTAAACCACTTGCACTGTTCTGCTAAGTGTGGTAGATGAAGAAGGAAATAAAGAAGAAAGTACAACGAAAAAAGAACCTACTACCTAAGATGATATTTGACATAATATCTAATTATCTACTGGAGGAAATCATAAGCACTTATATACACATTTAATAAAGTTACAACCAAAATATACCAAAAAAAATTCCTAAATCCATAATGAACTAACCACGCATAAAACTAAATAATAATTTTATTTGATTAACTGAATCTGTGTTTTCAAGACCGAAGCATTGATAGTAATTAATTGCCATCACTAATTAGCGTGGAACATCAAAAATAACAATTTTATTATAAGTAATAAACGAATTTGATAAAATGTCGGCTGTGTATATGAGGAAGTTTACACACCAACTAACAGCTGAACTTTCGCATTATTACGAACTTGACCTTTTATTTTATGCAACAAACGTGTAGCTAATGTTTTGTTTTATTTTACAACAAATTATTGTGGGTTTTGTGGTTTACTGTATTATGGTTGATCGGATCTTTTCCGGGTATAATAATTTATTGTGTAGGTAGGTACTAGCTAGCTTTAAATTCAAGGGCTTTTGCGTTCGACTAGCCTCGTTTCTGTAGTCTTAGGGCCGATTTTACAACGTCAGATACATTTTAACTGAGGGATAACTTTCAATATTCGAAAATTTTATTGTACAGTTAAAAAATAACTGGTTTATCTAGCATTGGAAAAATCGGTTGTTGGTCCACTATTGACCGGATTTCGTAATTTCAACAGGATCCCATCGTCATTTTGTTGTTTCTTTACTATATCTACTTCTTCTGGATGGAATTTAAGAATCTATGGTTTTTGATATACAGGGCAAATGAGTAACGGAGCACCTGATGGTAAGCGATCATAATTTTAACTTTAGTTATTTCTGTCTGAATAAATTCTGGAATGTAACTTATATAAGCCTCTTCGGAAGTTGTTAAACGCCTGGTTTAACACAGTATAAGTACTATCTTAACATCCTTTCCTACACAATCAGTAACAGCGTCTATTAGTTAGTAATCTACCACAAATTCTGTAAGCCAAGTCACCCGACAGATTGCAGTAAGTACTTACATTCTAAGACGTCAATACTGAACTGTAGCACAGGTGCATTAGCTCAATCTCGTCACGGACCAAATCCCAGCCATTACCATTGTTCAGACAACATCTGTTGCGCCTGCGCAGACCGCAGTATAAGACCAGCCAATACGCAAGCTTCCATTTCACGATTGGATGATTTTGATGGAGAAAGCAGTTCGTATTATGTTACACTCGTTCTATAATAAAAGGCGTTTTTTTTTTTGTCTTTTTTCGTTTTGTAACTTGGTGTCTTTTTCGTTGACTTATGTCACAGTCTCAGGTTATACGACTGATAATGTGGTCCAGAATCATACAGCAAAGTCTGATTAATTGAAAAATACTATCTTCTTGATTATGCTCTAAGTTGATTCAACAGTAAATTTATCCTCAAAAATTGAATTGTCTGTCCGTCTGTCTGTCAGAGAAGCTAGGCGCTCGTTCCAAAGTGTAGTTTCGAATGGAGAAAAACGAGCAAGAAACTCCATCGTTACTCTTGTCTGTGACATTCCTGATTAAGTCCCTGATAAACGTATGTACCTTAATTAGTAATTGCGAAACTGACTTCGAGATCCTAAATTGATTCTTAATTACCAACCTGTATCCTTATTACAACAACTTAAAATCTTACTCAAAGTGCTTGGAAGTCGTTTAACTTTGCCTCGACATGATTTACACTGTCGTACGCGCATCCATAGACCCATAGCTCCATAGTGCCAGCTAATGTGTGACATTTAAATGTTACCTCACATGGACGCTGTCCCTTGACACACAGACATTTATTTAATGGCTAATAAAATATTAAAAGTTATAATAATTTCCTAATAATAATATTGCCGTTGTCATACGACTTTTCAACTTAATAGTCGCGTATTTTCTTTAGCAACGGACAGTAGTTATTTATTTGTTCAGATTGTCATTTCAATAGTCATTTCATCAAACACTTTTCTACGCAATTTGAACACTAATTGGTGAAATAGAAACATTACTATAGTGCCACTTGGTAATAACACAAATTAATGCTTTGTAAACTGAGGAAATTTTCGTTTATTATCGACTATTTTTCTTTCATTTTCTTTTAATATTTTTAAGTTTTAGAAAAGGTCTAAAACTTTACTTTAATATACTCTAATATACTTTGTTCTAATGTAGTGTATACTTGCAATGAATTTAAAACTAAGCACTGGCTTATAAATAATAAGTTCTTAGTTTATTTATTTTTTATTTATCACTGACTAGATTCTTATTTTATTTCCCATAATGCTCTTAACGTTCATCTTTTAATGGATAACAAATCTTCGTGAGTCATACTAAATAAATTATTATGTTTTCGGCTTACTCACGTAATAATTTGACGAGGAACTCGACTAATTTCAAGCCATGCTAGAGGCTCATATTCATGAGCAGCATTTCGCGACCCGCGACGCGGCGACTGTCGCGCTGCTACTAAACTAGTCGAGTTCCTCGTCAAATTATTACGTGAATGCCGATAACAATAATAATTTATATAAAACAACTTAACAAAACTAAATCTTCTAAGATCAACAGAGGTTTTATTCTAACCGTGATCATTTTGAATCCATTAAGTTCACTTTATACAATTAATGTACTGTAATTCATGCCAGTAGAGTCGTGTAATACAAATGTATCCAGTTGTGTCGTATCCGTTAATCGAAGGTCAATCAAGCTTGGCTAAGCTTTTCTAATGCGCTGGCGCACGCTCGACTTGCATTGTTTTCAAATATACATAGGGCTGGCAGTTCTGAGTTAGTAAATTATTGCAAATTGGTATTTTGTTTGTATTACTACAAACATTGTAGTATTAACGTTCCAATTTCTTTTACTACTAAAATGTACATGAAAATTCATACAAGGCACACATTAATCCAAATTGTATGAAATAAAATAATTAGGCTTGCGCTTATAATATTTATGCTTCTTCATAAAATTTAGATTTTGTTTGTTTTTAATGCAATTTAGTTTACATAAGACTCATAACATAACATCACGCTTTTTATCCCTAAAGGGGTAGACAGAAGTGC